GAACATTTAAGACTGTTTTATTAGATTAATGTAACTAAATGTACATGTAACTCCCTATGAATTAATGCAGCCTCCTCATCTACAGGATCCAGTATGCTATTTTTGTCTCAAATAACACCAAACACCAATCAAACCACGTTAATTTCCTTACAAAATAAAATTTTAAAACATATAAAAATAAGCGTCCTTTAGATGAAATATGTTATGGTGCACCTTATTTACACCAATTCACAAAATCCACCGCCTTTCTATGAAGCAGCTGCACATTAATCATGGCTTAGCTTTTATAAAGGTTCCTATGAAACACTTTAATATTCTGTATAGAATCGATTCTGGCTGTTTAAATGGAGAAACATCAACTCTGAACATTTGCTTTCACTTTTTATTCCAGACGCGAAAAACAATAATGGCGCTGTCACTCCACGCAGCTATAATGTTTAAGGGAGCGTCTTTAAACTCCACACACTGGGGGAAAACGCTTGCAATGTCAAATCACTCGTTCAAATAATGTACACGTTTTAGCATACAAAATCATTTAAAAAAAAAATAGCATTTGTACAAAAAAAAAAAAAAAGAAGCAGCGTATAAATCAAGAGGCAACCTCCCCGTCTCTCTCTTGAAACCTACACAGAAGTGACTTAAACTACTGGCTGCTAGAGACCAGTGTTCCGGTGAATTCAGTTTCTCTGTTTCCCCCTCACAGCGCCTGCGCAACTTCACAGTGTTGCCAAGTCCGTGGTTTTCCCGCGGTAGTTTTTAGTAGCAATAGGGAGGGTTTTTTTTTATATCCTGGCAACCCTCAAACTTCAGTACTAAAATCATGACGTCATGATTTCGCCCCGGTTAAGCAAGTCAGCTTATGGTGGTTTTGCTGTCTTTCTGCAAGCAAGGTTCATTTCACCATGTTAATTAGATAATTTGTAATTAAATACGTATTACTGTACGTGACGTCCTGTTCAATCGCTATAGAGTCAGATTTCCCTGCTAATTCTAACTGTTGCCTGTTTTATGAAGTGTAACCCCTTACCAAAAAGTAGTATACTTCAAGTGTATTTTATTAAGTATACTTAAGTAAAGTTCAAGTATATTTTTAAGTATACTTTATGTAGCAAGTATACAAATATCAGTGTACTAGTAGTATACTTGTAAGTGTACTATTTAAATACTCCTTGGGACTAAATTGACTCACTCTCTAGTATATAAAAGTATACTTTTAAGTATACTTTAAGTATAACAGTAGTAAACTTTAAGTACACAACTAGTTTACAACAATATTTTTAGCTTGTACTGCAACTATACTAAAAGTGAACTTATATCAATACTGATTTTCTAATTAAATACTTGTAGTAGCATTTTTAGTACACTTTGAAGTATAGTCTTAGTAAACTACTAGTTTAGTAGTTTTGTACTGCAAGTATACTCGTAAGTTTTCTTTAAGTGAACTTTACATCATACTTTAAGTATACTACTATGTCCCT